ACATGTTGGCTGCTCCTCACAAATTCAATGGTCTATTTGAGGGTTAAGCCTTGGTTTTAGGTTCAGGGTTAGAATTAGGTTTGGGTTAGGGTAAGGGTAAGAGTTAGGCATTTAGTTGTGATGGTCAAGGTTAGAGTGAGGGGCTATAGGGAATGCATTATGTCAATGAATGTCCTCTAAACTATAAATAGACGTGCATGTGTGTGTGTGTAGTACGTAACACTGTTTTGTTCACAGCATTAAAAATATCTAAACCCAGCTAAAACAAATGCAGTCCAATATAATGGACTTATTGTTTGTGATGAAACTGTTTTAGAGGCGTTAAACAGCCCTATGTTGATTATGGAGGCTGCAACTTGTGGAGCAGTTATAGCATTACAGATGTTTCCATTATTTTGTCTACCCTGTTCATTCAAGGAAACAGCAAAATAAAAGTGATTCAATGAAAAAAAAGAAGATTCAATATACATTTTGTACCACTGGCCTGCTTTTATAATTTAAACAGCTTTACACATTCATTCATGGGCTCAAGTACATTTAAGTCTAAAATGTTTGAGTGTAAATTTGATGTTGTCCTGTAAAATAAAGGTTTCTTTAAGTTAAGAAGAGGGTTAAGACTTGGCTGTCCAGATTTATGGAGGAGAGGACAAGATAGATGCTCCTGCAACAGCCCCATGTTGGAAACCTTGGCACAGAAATAACATTTAATGACCAGACTGTTAAAGAAAAGAAGTAGCTGTAGAAATATAAGAATGATGGAAATAAGAGGGAAAGTGACCGGGAAGTGATAAAGAAAGGGAGACACATTACAGTAAGTGAAGTGTCCAGATGAGACAGAAATACAACCCCACATCAGAAAAAATTGGGATGGTGTGTAACATTTAAAATAAATAAAACTGAGAACAGTGATTTATAAATGATCTTTGACCTGTATTAAAGTAAAAACAATATAAAAGCACATTATTTGATGTCTGACTTCATGAATTTTCTTGTTTTTTCGAAATAAACACCTACATTTTTGAATGTTTTACACTTTTATTTCCTGAGTGTTTTTGGAAATAATTAAATTATTCATTAATATTTAAGTACAAAGCACTGATTTTATTCATTTTAATTTCTGTTTTGACGTAATCTACTTGTGTGCTTAATTGTGTGGCCAAAGTAATCCTGAGCTGGTGTGAAGTTTTTTACACAATCTTTGTGACAAGAGTGTGGTACAAATATGTGAAAGCTGCCGTGTAATATCACCTGAGTGCTTGGCATTCTCCAAGCTGGCTGGTATTTGTTCGACGACCTCGAAGAGTGTAACAGCGACACTGTCGTCGTAGAGACGACCATCAGATAGAAATGTTGGCCACATTGTTAAGGTAGGTTAAACATGGACAGCTGTTTGTGGGACAAAACAGTCTTGACATCTAGAGCAAGTGCACCTGAGAACTTGACAAATTATTGGGTGAACAAAGTTTCATTATCACCAAGATTCCATCCTTTCCATACGTCCTCAATGCATAAGTATGAAAAGCTTATGTTTTCTTTAGTAACAGTTGTTATAAGTAGACTACAACAGTGTTTTCTTTCAGTGTATTACAGACATATTAATTATTTAAAGTTGACTTATTTGTTGGATAACTGTCAGGTTGTTGTTTCAGTTTGGTCACTTGCAAACTGTATTTCCATCTCTCACAAGCACCAGACACTATATGTCTTAATGTGATTAACATGCAAGTTTGAAATGTGTATACAGTATGTCTGTCAAACCTGATCCTTGTTCTTGCATCCACATTCCCGCACATGAACACGCCGAAGTCAGAACAACGGCTTCACAACTCGAGATATTCTGAGGAGCATGTGAATGCACAGGATCACACTGAGGCAAGAACAGGATCACAATCACAAAGGAGGCAAAGACACAAGGTAAACGAAAACATAAAAGTAAAGTCAAACATTAACTAACAGATTGAAAATTCAAAGAGAGATATAAATTCAAATATACAAAATCATCCCAAAGTTTCACATTAAACAAAAGTCATAATAAATCAAATGTTCAAAAACAAATACAAATTCTTTCTAAATGTCAGGGGCAGAATCAGGATGGATTATAAATCATGACAGATAATAATCAATTTTATCATCTTTTCCAGTTGTGGTAAAAGTACCATGAGTAAGATTATTGTCATAATCCAGCAATGAGACAAAATACACCTTGCAATAATATTGTGATGATAATCAACTCATGTAAACCAACACAAGACACCAGAGAAATATGAAATCATGACACACTGCCACAGTTGCACATTTCTTTTTTTGTGGCGGTGTTTTCTGCGATACATCTAAAATAGTCTGACATACATTTCATCCCATATTATCACTGTTAGCTGCTGGTATTTTAAGCCAATAAGGCTTCTTCAGAGTCACAGCCCACCACTACCTGCTATAAATATTCACTCCACACCTCCCATCCCCACTAAAGGTCTCATGTTATATGTCAAAGGCTGAGCTCCAGGGGTGAGGTGCAGTCACTGATTGCAGACTGTTCTTCGAAGTCTTACCAGGTCGTCTGCTGTAGTAGCTTTATTATTATTTTGCCTCAGATGTTGTGCTTGGCTTTACATGGCGTACCTAACCTTAGCTGGCAGAGGCCGCCTCCTGTTATCTGTCATCTGGTAGCAGTTGGGTTCAGAGCAGCTTCCAGACAGTGAGCAAGGTCAATGCAAGACACCAGCCTGACACAAGGACTGAAGACGCCTGCGGCAAAGGTTTGATCCTTCTTCGACAGCAACATTTACATTTAGATCATCAAAATTCCACTGGTGGTCTTGTCAAGTAATTGCTGTTTTGTCTAGAAATGTGTGATTGTAATGTGGATATTTGCATATGTAGTGTGAAGTGACCTAACGATTAGGTTATGCATTGGTTGGTCTGTTTTTTTTAAGGTGATTGTGTGTGACAAACATGGCTTGTGATAAATGGCAGCAGAGAGGTTCTGGTGAGAAGAGTGGGGTCCAGCCACAGTTCATCAGTGGCTCCAGCAGCATATCCACCTCTAAAACCACCACCATCCGTCTTCGGGATATTTATGACCCCAGGCCTCAATCGCCCAAACCTCCAGTTCGGATCCGCCCCCCGAGTCCCAGAACCCCCTCAGTGAAGGTGCCCAGTTTAACGCCCAGCTCCTCCACAGAGCCCCCAGTGAGGGCGATCATGAGGAGACGAGCTCAGTCTCTGCCTTCCTCTGCAGAGAAGACGAAAGGGCTCAGGAGTCTGCAGGTGCGCTTCGTGGACTCCCTGGGGCTGGAGTTAGAGGAAGTGAAGGTCTTCAAAGTCCAAGAGCACCCACTGATCCCTCAACACGTTATGTTCAGACTCCTGATGAGCTCTGAGCTGGCTTTTCGGAAGTCACTGGAGCTGTCCCTGCCGTACTTCAAACCCTGTTTCCCAGAAAACATGGAAGCTCAGCCCGACTTCCAGAAGCGTCTCTGCACTCAGAGTGTGTGTCTGGAGCAGGTCCTGTGTTCAGAGCAGGGGATAACAGGCACTATACAGGTGCTGAATTTAGCTTATGAGAAAGAGGTCACAGTGCACTACTCTTTCACCAACTGGAGAACACATACAGAGGTAAGTGCATGCTGGGTATCGAGTGCAAACAACAAGGAGCAAGGCGCTCCAGAGGCAGACACCTTCAGGTTTCGTCTGCCAGTCCCTCCCTTCATTATGCAGCCAGGAGCTATGTTGGAATTTGCCATCCGCTATCATGTGAGAGGATCTGATTATTGGGACAACAACAATGGACGCAATTACAAACTGTCATGCCACAGCTACAAAGTGACTGTGCCGAGGGAGTGTGAGGACAGCATGCTGCATTTTACCTAAGTGTCCACATGGGGAAGCTGTACAGTACTGCACAGTAACTATAACCGATGTGTCCTTTACTTTAGTAAAAAAGCTACTGGAATGTGATCAAGTTCTTACTTCAGTACTTCTACTCCACTCACTCCACTTATTCTAAGAGTAAGTAAGTGTTGTCAGAAATGACAAGTCAGTGTTTTGTAAAAAAACAAAATAATTGAAACCAGAGGTTCTCAAATTTGTCTCTGCCAAGGACCCCCCACATGTGAAAAAATATTCTCAGTCCCCTCATTTATGTCCCTTGCAATATTTTGACATGGCCTAATACATTTTACGTATTAAAATTTTTTCACCCTGTCAACACAGAAAGCCTATATATCATGATCTTTTTACTGGATGAATCTGGAAACTGTGTGTGCCACAGACCCCTAGGGGTCCTCGGACCCCCATTTGAGAACCACTGATTAAATGATACTTACATTATAGGTTAACACCCTCTGAAAATCTAGTTATTATGAACTGATTTTATTTGTCACCATGGTGTGGTGATGTAGGAGTGCACCCCAGGGCCCCATGACATGATGGCTGGATGTGGCTAAAGATGCAACCAAACATTTTTCTGACCTCACCTGTATCTAACCATGTGTCTCCTGAGCAAACACACTGATGACAAGTCGACTTGACGTTCTGTGTGAAGTCGGTGTATTGCCCCTTTAAACCCCTCCAGTGTGTTTGAAGACCCACACAAGAATCTGCTTACTCCGCGCTTTAGCAAGTAGAGACCCAATTTAATGATCGTCAGCGTGATGTGGCAAAGACCCCTGTTGTTGTGTCTGAAAACAGAAATTGCACAAAGCAACAAATCCATATTCTCTGTTGATTTCACACAGATGCAGACAGTGTAATGATCTGTTTACAACCTGAGCAGTTTGTTTGCCCTCTGATATAACTGTGCTTGACCTGTTATCTTGTTTGTAAATGACTGGTTCCTTCCCCTGATAGTGTCTGACCTTTCCCCAGAAAAGTTTCCACTGACACCAGTGCCCAGATTCCAGAGCTTTCTGGCAGCCTGCGATGTTTGGCTCATACGAGGACATTCCTCTTTCTGCATGAGTCACTGCAGCTGTGTGACGCAATGCTCCAAACATGATCACAGCTATCTCGAAGTGACAACTCAAAAATGTTGTAAATGGTCTGTAGTGGAAAGAAGTTCATTTTCTGTGAGATGATTTCAATGTGTTTTGGATGTCAACACGTTTTATGAATTTGCCAGAATAAATTGGCACTCTTACTTCTTTTTTTTTTGTAAAGCCCATATTCACAAACCACAATTTGCCTCATGGGGCATAACAAGGTGTGACAGTGTGAGGAAAGATGTAGAAGCCTCAGAGAGAGTCACAAGTGAGGGATCCCTCTCCCGGGACAGACAGAAGAGCAAGAGATGCGGTGGTGGTGTCTTCTTAAGATTCTACCACCCATCTGCAAAAAGGTAATTAACCCAAGATATGAATTAAGTCAATACAAAGTCTATATGCTCCACTATTCACTTATCAAATGATACGTACTCTACACATCTTCCTCACCACTTATATATATATATAGAAAATCTGATGGAACACTGAGTCATATGTTTTGGTTTTGTACTAAAGTTTGGTTTTGGATGCTTCAGTTATACATGTTGACATTAGATCATACCTAAGGTCTGAAACAAAGAAATAAACCCTTGTGTCTTGGCGCCTGGCTCACAGAGTTTTCTATGAGTTGTCTAAGTATGTCATTGTGTGACACCTCAATGACGTGTTATTTAAAGTTTTTTTAATATACATGCAATTTAAAATTTTATGTGATCATGGACAACAGCCATAGGTTCATCTGAAACAAATACTTTTTTTTAACACATGTAGTATTGTAATTGTTGTTGCTGCTGTTTTTCTCCTTGTGGGGTGGGGTGACAGGAACAGGGTTTTTTTTTGTTGTCAAAATGTCTATGAAACTGAAATAATGGGGGGGAACAACACTTCTGTCTGTAATGTAATGAAATAGTTTTGCACTGGTAAAACTTTTCCCACAACAAAATAAAATTGATATAAATATGTAATAATAAACTAAATCAGCTTACATCAGTCATTTCTGTGAACATAGAAGTATATTTGCCCATATTTTCAATTACGTGAATCAAACGCAAACATTTACATTGTACAAATATGTATGTACACGGGTGAGGGACATGTTTTGTTTGAGACAGCAGATTTATTGTTGACCTCTCACTCCAGGAATGCTGAAAATTATGTGTGTAAATTCGAGGAGATCATATGTAGCAATTATGGGACACAAGATGGCGCCATTGTTAAAAAAAATCTCTACATGTCCGATTTAAAACAAAGTATATGATGCTTGATTCCAGGGGTTGATGATTGATGGACCATTATACTACTACTAATAATAATAATATTGTAGCTGCTTGTAGAAGAGCAATTTCTAACTATACTTTATATAATGCTGAAACACTAAATAAGTAACAAGTAAACGTAGCAGCCAAATGAATGCAGCAGATTAAAAAGTGCTATATTTTCTTTTGAAATGAAGTGAAACATTAGAAGAGTAACGTCAAATTGAAATACCCAAGTGCCTCAAAATAACATTCCACCACTGTTTGTTTCAACAACTTGCAACTTACATATGTAATTTCCCTTTTTTTCATAGTCATAGTATCATCACTTTATTTGCAATAACATTAAATATTATATAGGTAATGGGCTGCGTTATGAGGTGTCTAACACCATCTTCTTATCACTGCTGGAGAAAGTGTTCAGATCATTTACTGACATAAAAATACTTAATTGCAATTAAAGTGCATCATGTTAATTAAGTAAAGGTGCAGAGGTTTTAATTGTAAAATGTTTTTAAACTACCAAAAGCAAAAGTGCTCATGTAGAAACAATAATAACAGATAAAAATGTATCTGCGTCACAAATAATAAAAGCTATAATAAGAAATCACTTTCTAGAGTTTCACTCCACAGAGAATTATGTTTTTATTTTGTTCTATGCTCTCCGGGGGAATTCGTAACCTGGCAACCCTCGCTTTGTCTCTCTTGTTTGTACAGTTGCTTGTAATTACTGGATTCACAGCAGATGACTTATTATTGTAGCAGTCATGATGGTGGATAAAGGCATGTGTGAGACAGTGAACCACAGACTGTAGCACAACCACAGCGATGCAGCAACAAGAGGCCTCAGTATCCTCTGCTCCTGAAATGAAATCATCTGAACATTTCTTACAGTTGCAGCTGAAGCGCCCCCCCTCAGGGTCCTGCGGGGCTGCCCTGGTGCTTGTTTATGGATGTTCTTTACCCAGCAGCCTTGGCTGTCACGCCAGTGTGTTGTCGGGGTGCACGTCCACGCAGCCTCGCAGCACAGAGACTGTATTTGGGGCTGTCATCCTGCATTTAGTTATATAAGAAGGCTCCATGTTAGGAGAGATGATGCTCCGAAGTGACGTTTGCTCTGGGGACTGGCTGCATGTAGAAACCGGTGCATCACTGTGTGTCCCAGTGATTGAGTTACATCACCAAAACACCAGTATGGCCTGTGTGGTTTGGAATAAAAGAGCCATCAATCATAGTCTCAAGCATGTGACTGATTTCATTACGTCAGTATTTATTTGTAGAGGCAATTTGCTGATATAAAAGCTAATGGGTTGTAAAAAAAAAAGAGATTACAGCTTCCGGGTGTTGTAGTGACGTTGTGTACTATTCTCATACATTGCACCTAAAGTACTTAACAAGTGATTTTAAGAATATATGTATGGAAAAAAGGAAATTACGCAACTTTATGACAATTTTTTCACCAGAAAGTCATGACAGTTACAATTTGGCTAAAAACAGCAGAACATATGTTGAGCGTGTGTGTGTTCATCTTTGGCCTCCACCCACCTGAGGGATACCCGGAAGTCAGGATATCCCCCATCACACCCTTTAGAGCATCTCTTGTTCCTCCCACGCACCACCTCCACCTCCCAGCCACAGGTTCCTGAGACTGGACCAGGCTGGCCTCTATCAGCCGCCGCAGCTCTTGGCCAGTAGCTCCTAGATTCATTAGTCCAGTCGGTGAGCGGTCCTGGAGTCAAACACGGTGCAAACTGGAGCTGCCATCTGTTCCTGCACCAGGGCCAGGACGGAGAGTGTGACTCACATATAACGTGCATGTTGATGTCACAGAAAGAGCTCGAATCAACACATTGCCAATGTGAACGTGCCAGAGACAGAGATGATCCAACCAGGGTTGAGTTGTTTTTTTTTAAAAATGTAATACCAGGTAAGAGGCTTCCACCTTCTGAAAGAGGCTTTACAACGACCTCATGCGCACCTACATTATTTTAATGTGTTTGTCTGGGAAATAATGCGCTCAGGGTGAAGTGTGAGGTCACATCTCAATATAACAATGGCCTGTTTCTCTACCTCTTGTTCCTCTGCCAGTGTCAGGCAGCAGTGATTAGATCAACAGCTCAAACGCAGTCAGGTGAACTTGTTTTCATGAGGGTCTTTAACCTAAATAACCTGCTAAATGCAAGTCATGCCTGTCCTTCTTTATCAGAGATTTACTCATAGCACCATGAGAAGAAACAGGTCACTGCCTGCTCATTGTACTCTGATTACTGCTTGATCCGACGCTACGAGGTGTATGTGACATCAATGTAATTATCTGCATATAAGCACAAACATAATTAAGAAATTAATCTACTTGGATTACAACCCATCTATGCTCAGTCAGTAATTATCACCCTAATTCTGTCACTTTCTAATCCAATTTTGACATGTAGCATATTTCTACTATGAGTGCAGTGGCCGTTCTAAACCAGCCTGTTTGAAATGTTCGGTTTTCTTGTCCTGTTTTTGAGCTATTTCATAATTATTACTACTCAATCAGTTCTTCAACATACTGTCACTTTTTACTGTTTGTGTGCCTGATGTTGTGTGCAGAGCTTTTTATGAACAGTCTATGGTGCAGAGTAAAGTTAGACAACTTTACGTTCATCCTACTTGGTTTATCTGCAAGAAAACTTTATAGAAAATGTTTTTTATAAAATGAAACAGTATTTTGAGTTTGAATGATTTACTTGACTTGTTTCATTTTTTCATACATTGCATGTTGGCTATTTCAGATCTGTTACAAACAACACTATCTTCAGACCCAAGATCACAACTTCTCAAAATCAAAGCTCTGTAATTCAGCTCGATATAAAGCATTACAGCAACAAAACCAATGTTGTGCTCTTACTTTGAAGACAAATTGCCAAACCAGGAAGTGATTGTATGAATGTTGTGGCCTTGACAGAGATCAGCTCCCATGGTGTGCCAGTCCGTCTACGTCTGTATCAGTCTGATATGGTAAAATTAATAAAGATTTGTGAGAGTGATTTTTTACGTTCTATCCAGTTGTTGACCACTGCTGTAGTTTATCCGTGGACGTAGAAGAAGACATATTAGACTCCGTCCGCAGCCTGAAGGTGCACTGCCCCGCCCACACTGACTGCTATAGAGTGCTGGGCGCCTGTTTAATAAAAATTTTAAAAAACTTATCGCACCAAAATTTAACACTGCACTTTCTTGGGCCATGAGGAATACACATAACAATAAGATGAACGGTACCATACTGACAGACGTTTTTGGAATTAGTTGGTTGATGATTTTATATTAAAATATGAAAAAGACACCAAACTACACAAGAGAACAAACAGTTTGTTACAAATTGAAAACCTGTATTGTGCAGACAATAAATAGTGCTTACAAAGGGATTTCTGTCTTGTACACAGACAAGGATTCTGTTTGAGAACATTAACACTGTCGATATGAAACGCAACCATCAACTGGATCAGTGAAACTCCGACACAGCTTGGGGATGTGACTACTGATACTGGAGTGGGACTGGTCGACTCGGTCACATGCACGTTTTCCCCACGTGTGGCATCAAAAAACGACATTGTTCAAAAAAAAGTTTGTTTACAAAAAAAAGAAGTCTCTGCTTGTCTATGGCAAATTCATGACCTCGCCTCTTCCCGCTCCTCTGACAGGCTGAAAGTGAGGGTGAAGGAGATGTTCCTCTGAGCAGAAAGTGGAGCTCGCTTGCATGCGTCCCCCCCCTGTCCACTGGCAGCTCCGTTTCTAGAGACATAGCCTCCAAGGTGGGCTGGACCCCAATATCAGGATGCCCACTGACTGTGGGTCAGGGCGCTGGAAGACTCCTCGCAAAGGTCTTCACTGACAGAACCAGGTTTCAGCAACTCTTCACAGAAGAAACCTTGCTAAGGCCGGTGGAACCTGCAAGGACGAGAAAAGAGGGTGAGAGTGAATGTGGGCTAAAATATTCAGTTAGTGGAGTGTCATCAATCAAGAGTCCTATTATTGGCCCAACAGAAAGTGCAGCCAATGGCTTCTCCTAAAAAAATGGGGTCTTGCGTAAGCACAACCCCGGCTAATTCAAGATTATTTTTTTTTAGCTATACGCGGTCTTGACATAAGCGAAACGTAAGCTAAATATGTGCGGGCATTCATTATAGTGGAGAGGTGGTGCAAAAGGGTGCAACTTTCTCATCTCAAGGGGCCTGGCTGCAGCTAAATTTAGGCTCCACTCTGCAGGGTGTGCACTCATTGATGTGAGACTGTAAGTCTTTGCACAATGTCATGCTGACCCCCACCCCCCAGACATCTTCCACTAACAATGAAACCAACAAAAGGAGCGCACGCTCACATTTACCTCGTCAAATGCTTGCTCGATGAGTGAACTTCCATCTCATTACTCTTGAACTCGTTCAGCTCCTTCCGTATCGCCGCCTGTCAACAGAAGCAACATAAAGTGTGAGCCCAGGAGCGGCCCCTCATACACCGATGATCGTGTGGTGAACCTCAAACCAGGATGTTATGAAAAAGCAGAGACATCTGTTGTTTAGGTGCCAATTATGAAAGCTTAACTGGGTTTTCTGAAGAAGAGGAGTGTTTGGCTAACAGGAGGTTTATATGAGAAACACTTATCATGTGGGAGACAGGATTTCTGCAGGAGTTACATTTAGGACTTTTTAATAAAATACAAATCAATGTATTTCTTAATCAAAGCTTGACAGAAAACTAGAAGCAATGACAGAGTATGTATAAATAGATTGTATATAAGTCATATAACTTTATTATATGACTTACTTTAAATTGTTATGTCATATACTTCCAACCAGTGTATCTAACAACAGATTCTAATCTTGCTGTTAATTAAATTCATACAACATGGTTCTAGATAAGCAACAGAAAATAGATGGTTGGTTTAAAGGTCCAGTGTGTAAGATTTAGGTGAAAGGGAACTATTGGAATAATCTTCATGATGTTTTCACTAGTTAGTTTCATCTAAATTGTATGAATTGTAGTTTTCTTTACCCCAGAAAAGGCTCTTTATATTTAAATACTTTATATTTACATAGAGGGGACCCTCTCTACGGAGGCCTCCATGTTTTTTACATTAGTCCAGACTGAACAAACTAAACACCTTTTGAGTTTTTAAGACAATTAAAGGTTACCACAGTTTTTTTTTTCATGTTTGGAAGGAGAGGGTGAGGTGAGGGGTGTTCAGCTGCAACATGACATTTCAACACTCGATATCACAAAATTCTACACACTGTGTTTAAGGTATTAAAAAAAATTCTCCTGCAGCACAATCCACCACCTCCACAATACTACCTTTAGAGTGAGCGTTCTCCCCACAGGCTGCTATCCTATATAAAAACATTTTCGACTTTTAACAATTTCATATAAGAACCTCTAAAGGGCTTTTTCAAAATCTTAATTCAGTGTTTTCTTTTTAGGTTTTTTCAAGACCAGATATCCTGGACAGAGGTTGACCACACGTCTATTTCACAAAAGTTGTTAAGCCACTAAATCTAAATTTCTACTATTTAAATATTTAAAAGGTCAGTGTTGCTGATCACCAGAGGTGTTTTTATATCCACCTTGTCAGAGGCTGACAGTCTGGTCCAAGGCTTGTCAGCTCGCCTGTCATAGTCCTGAGCTTTGGCCACTTCCACATAGTCACTGAAACGGATCAGGATCTTTCTGTCCCGCAGCTCGTCCACCGTCGGCCGCTGGTTTAGCTGTAGGACACACACAACCGTCAGCGGTCGCTCTCCACAGCATTTTAATGATTTTAGCATCCATCGTGATAGAAAAATCAGGAGCAGCTTAGGTATTGAGGTTCTGTTATGACTAGTTGACAGTTCGCTTCTGCGCCTACTGTGTGTGTGTGTGTGTGTGTGTGTGTGTGTGTGTGTGTGCCCTAAATGTGGGATTAAACCGATGTGATTTAAGGACACTGCTCAAATCGCCACTGCCGCCTACCTTTCTGTTGAGCCGCTGTTTGATTTCCCTCCTCTCCTCCTGCTCTGTCTGATCATTTCTCTCTGTTGACACAAGGAAAGACAAACATTACAACCAAACTGTTAATGCTGTGCTATGCTAATTACCATATATTCCATAACGCTGGACATCAGAACTATTCGTCCTTGGATCAGCTCAGTCAGTGTGCAGACTGCTGGGTAAATACACGGCAGTCACTGTCATGGGACCAGACAGTTGATGAAGTCTGTGATTAACGGAGCTAATGTGTCCGATCCTCCTCACAATCAATAGTGCTAAGTGAGCCAGTCTGTAATAGTGTTGAGGACGGGACGCATGCGCTCATGGACTGACTCCATCTCTCAGTGTGAGTTAGAGAGTGAGACACGGGCTCATCAGAGCACTAATAGGATTCATCTTTATTAGATAAAGATCACTAGATGTCCCTCTCATTCTAATTTAAAAAATAAAGCACACATCTCTCTGAACATAATGTGACAGGAATAAATGATTCAATTGATTTGCATTTTTTAAGGCCTTTAGCTGCAGAGACCCAAAAGAAAACTCACATATTGCTTCATAAGAAAAATATATATTCAATTGTAAGATTTGTTTTCCAAAAACTGTTTTCATGTATTTTAGGAAATCCCTTCCTTGATCCTCAGGTTACTGATTTTGATGACCTAGAATAGCGCATGTAGGTTGTATGCTGGTTTAATTCCCGACCAACTAGGAAAATAATTTCTTTAAACCTGAGTTAACACATAAATCTTGAGCTGTTGACGTGGACTGGCAGTTATACTGAGGCTGGCACCTGTCTGAGCACAATGTGACAGGAACGGATGATTCAATTGATCTGCATTATTTTATGGTCTTTATTTTGTCAGTGCTGTGGTTCAGGATGACTGTCCTTACAGCATGTTAATAAGCAGAGAGACAGAAAGAGAGAGACAGACAGAGAGACAGACAGACAGAGAGAGAGAGAGAGAGCAAGACAGAGACAGAGAGCCGGAGCCGGTGACGAAACAGACAGCTGCTCGCCACTCACAGGTGGCTCATCTCAGCTGGGAGGAACAGTCAGTACTATTGTGGGAATTCAGTCCTCACATTGCTGTTTCATAATTGTTCTGCACTGTCAGGGACAGGGGGACGAGTTTCACAGCTCGAAAAGCTACAATCTCAGACATTTTCCCTGAGGAGTAGAACTTTACGACAGAACCATGAGCTCAAGTCATTTCAACAAGTCAAATCTGAGGAGAAGTGCTGATGGAGAAGATGAACAGAACTACAATTGACTTTTAAACCTTATAGAAATACTGAGGTAGGATGAATATTACAGGGATTTGGGGATTTTATGAGTCCTATCATTAACTGTGGGCAAATATCATTAGTCCATCATGTCTGTTTTGGAGCTTTCTCACAAACAAAAACAGATCCAACTAATGATGATCTTCATCGCTATTTCCAATTCAATTTCCTTGTTGTATCTCCAAAAACTTTATGAAATCCACGACATAATCAACTCTTAGTGATATAAGACAGAGATAAGCAGGAAATCCTCACACACAAGAGGCTGAATACTGAATGATTAAAAATATATAACCTATTACCATGAATTGACTGATACAGCCATACAATGAAAATCATTGGAATTTGAATAATTGCTAAGTCCATCATGTCACTTTGTTTTCTTAATCTTCAACTAACACATGCTTCTGAAGTACTGACAAATACTGATTAACAGATTACTCATGTGGGTGAACTGATTAAGTTAAGTTTTTATGGAAATGTTTTCTGTTATAGTGTAAAAAAGACTCAAATAAAAACATGTTTTACACAATATTGAGAATAATAAATGTAATTGATGTCAAATGAATTACATATTTTGAAATATCTACTGAATATAACTGTAAAACATAAAGATAACATTTGATATGTATATTGAAAGAAAGAATGTCTGTCCACTTATTGTGATTTTTAAAATATAAATCAAAGTTCTGTACTTGATGTAAAAACCTCTTCAAAGTAATGTGATCAGCACGCACACAGTTATACTTGTAATCACTGAGTTTTCGATAAGAGCCTTTATATGAACTCACGCTTCAGGATGTTGCGGCTCTCCAGCTCCTCCACCGCCGGCCTCTGGCTCAGTCTCCTGCGGAAAAACACCAGGATTACGTTCTGGACCATGTCTAGTCCTCCTCTGCTGGAGCTGCTGCCTCCAGCCTCCTCCACATAAAGTCTCTACAAGTCTTTTCTACTGTTACTACTAGCACTGTGGATGCTGGGGCCGGTGCGGAGCGCGCCACGATCCGCGCACCCGGAGCGCAAACACCGCGTCCCTCCTCGAGCCCAGGCACCGGGTTAGTGAGGTGTCAACACATTTAAGGCTCCACATCGGGGATGGAAATTCCGACCGTGCGTTTGCAAACACGCGTCAGAGCCAGTTTGATGAAGAGAAGCAAATTAAGCGGCTTGGTTTGGATGTTCCAGGAGTTTGAGAGGGAGGAGCGCTGGTTTTAAATTCCCTGTGTGTGCGATGCTGAGCGCTGAGCGGAGTGAGTGGTGCTGCACCGCCTGCACAGCCTTTTACCACATGCACTGATGTGGAGGGGTGGGACTGAGGAGGAGATTCCCCACACACACACACAGACACACACACACACACGAAGGGAGTTGCTTGACAGCTTTATCAGGAAAATCCAGTGGACTCACAGCAGGGTTGAACGCTTTTAAACAGACATTTTTCATCCTTTATCAATATTTGTAACGCACGGTGCAGTATGTGAAGTATGTGAGATGGTATGAAGATGTGGGTTATCAGAGAAAACATAAAGCAAAATGTGCACCATATACGTAAGACACTCTAGTGGTTTTAAACTCTTCTACATGAGCAAAGAATGACAAACACTTGATACACAGCAAAACATTTAAAACATCCTCACTGTGTGTAATGCATAAGCATAGTGAGGAGGTTTAACACATAACTGAGCTCCCTCAGATTTGTAAAATGCTTCTAGACATTTGTTTAATTTAGATAGATAAAATTGATATTGCAATAATTACTGATATTGTTTTTTTCACCCAGCCATACTGCTGTGTTAGTTACTTTGACATTTGGTGGCTCAGTCATAGTGGAAAAAATGGACACATCACAACTTCCCAGATCTTTGTCTTCAAATTGATTTCGTCAGGCTGTCAGTCCAAACCACACGTCATTCAGAGAAAAGATAAACATCTGCACACATGACAACTTCAACCAGCAAATGTATTTTTTGCTTGATAATCACATGAAGAATAATTTATAATCAGAATGTCTTACGTAATGACTGCTCAACAGTTTTTTCATTGTAACCTCATGGGGGTAAAATATAGAACATGTGCAGTCATGTGAGCAGAGATGAAATGAAAACAAACAGGGAACTGTTGCTGATACTACAGATTGAATGTATGTGTTGGTTGCAGCCTACATGTTCAACAAGACTGGGTGGTTTGGTGAAACCAGATTAAGCCTGTGTCAGTGCTCAGCCTTCCACATCACCTGAATTATAGGATTCCACGCATGATACCAAGATAAATCTCCGCTCCGACCCACAGCACACTCGCTGCTAACAACACTCCCATAGTGCCTCATATAGGAAAGTTTAATGTTTGTTAAAGATTAGTTTTTTTCAAAAAACTGAGTTAAACCTGAATCTGACTTTTTTGTTTTACTTTACACAAAAAATCAGAGCATAAAATACGTATGTATTTAAATGCTGTGAAAACTAACTAACTAACTAACTAATTAATTAGCATATACTGCAAAATGGAGTCAAACACCATAGCTGTAATAAGTGTACGCTTGGTTTGTGATATGAGAAAGCCAGAGAGTTTATTTTTGCAAAGTGGAAGGCAGTGGAGACGAGAAGAGAGTTATCATGTAAAACCTACTTGGTGAGATAACTGGTGAGCTACAGCCTTTTAAAACTAAATACATGATTTCTTTCTTAGTTATTACATATAAATAAAATACAAATTTGATGAACCAGAATCTGAATTGTACAATTAACTTGTACAAAGACTGATTCTAAATTAAATCTGGATAAGAAAAAAAACCTGCTAACACTGACTAGCTCAGTGGATCTGAGCAGCTGACTGAGCAGATCTGAACATTTGACTCTCGTGTTATTACTGTGATTTATAGTCGTTAAGCTACTTTGAGCAGCATTTAACATTCATAGACTTCATTATAGTTATTTTAGTGTCGCTTCACAGACATCGTGCAAAACAGAGACAGATTTAATTCAACTCTGGACTATGAACAATCCAAATGAATCTGCTTTTCTTTAACAAAGTTAAAATTGATGAGAAAACCTTTAAAAAAACACATTCTATTTGTAGATGCTGCAGTTTCTCCAAGCAGGCCATGAAGACTGTCCAAAGGCAGAATCTTCACTTTTTAAACATTAGATTATATTGCAATGTTTGGGGCTTTAATAATCATCTTAAAAGGCATAAGATGATGGAAATACAATCTTTCAATCTGTTGCACAAACTCTAACCTATTTTTCTCAACTACAGCTCTTTGCCTTTGGGAGGAAGAATTGATGACAGACTTTCCAGTTAGCCTTAAGGGGGAGAGCTTCACTGGGCAGCTGCAAGGTATAACCATATTTAGATGTAATAATGTTGCTGAACACAGCTCGAGCGTCCGGAAACCTTGTTCCCCAAAGACAACCAGTCACGACCCAAGAAAAAGGAGAACGAAAAAGGGTTAGATCTACTTTAATACTCCACAAGAGGAACAAACCACAATGTATTCACACTCACACTGCTGGGATGTGACACCATGGTTCACACCAGTAACAGGGACAGTCGACAGCAAACTGAGAGTACCGAAAAATTAGATGTCAGATGTTCTGAGCAGCACATGGACTTGAAATGCCGACTGAGAAAATGCACATTGAAAGTTTTTTTTAAGGAGCAGGATGACCCCCCCCCCATCCTCAAAAATGACTGAGGTGGACAAAGTTTGTATGAGTTATCGCACATCTTTAATTTGTCAAAAGCAATTACTGTTACTTGCAGATACTAGATGCATGTCTAGTTAGAACAAATGTGCCATGGATATGGACTTGAACATGGAGACATGGATACCATTTAGGCATCCGTGCTTTCACGTGATTTTATACAATTGAAAATTAAGTGATCTTTTAAAGATATGGTTGGTAATCCTGGAAAAGCGAACAAGAGCAGGCTACACCTTGAAAATGTGTAACCTATGCATCCCACCCCCTCCCATTCAATCTGAATGATATGACTGGTAATGTTTCTGAAAGCCATGTGAGGGCCACAGGACACACGCTTCTTTTCTTTGTTACCTCAGATGACTATTTATTGATCAGGACATGAAGAGGATTTCAACAAATAAGATAAAAGTGTTTCAAGAAAAACATACCAACTCAACTAATTCAACTAATTTTATCTAAACAAAGTTCCCTGTATTACTAAAACTATTTTTACTTAAAGGTACAGTGTGTAGAATGTAGTGATATCTAGTGTTGAAATTGCATGTTGCAGCTGAACATCCCTCACCCTCTCCTTCCAAAAGTGAAAAAGAACCTGTGGTAGCTTCAGTTGTCATAAAAACTCAAAAGGTGTTTAGTTTGTTCAGTCTGGACTATTGTAAAAAACATGGAGGCCTCAGAGGGTCCCCTCGATGTAAATATAAAGTATTTAAATATAAAGGACCTTTTCTGGGGTAAAGAAAACTACAGTTCATACAATTTAGATGAAACAAACTAGTGAAAACATCATGAGGATTATTCTACATTACATTTCTGACAATAGATCCCTTTCACCTAAATCTTACACACTGGACCTTTAAGTCTTTAATTTCTCAATGCATCAAGCCTATCATCACACAAGACTGATGATAATGATTGATTCTGTTGATATTGGATGATGAAATTCTTTCTGCCACATTTAACTAACCATTGGTGTATTTCCATTTGGTTTCTTATGGAAACACAATGAAAGTCTGACAAAAATGTTGAATACATTTCATTTTTTTAAACATCTGACATCCTGCACTGTTATAATCGGTTTGTTTCACTTTGTTTATTAGCACTTTGCTACTTGCTATTTCTTGGCATGTTGACCAACTATTCTTGTGGACCCATGCAAAAAGTGAATCAAAGGTAGCATCAACTGGAGCATGTGCTGTAGGCACACTTTCTACATGTACAATTTACACAGTCACAAAAGATGCAACTTACATCTGTAAAGACATGGCACCACATATAAAATTACCTTTATCAAGTTTTTGGTCATATCACACAACTCTGTTCTTGTCCTGTAATGGCTTCAGTGGTGACCGCTAATACTGAGGACTCATAAAGCAGGACCACGGACCTGGCAGTATTGAAAGATGGGGGGAGTCGATTTGCTAAATGGAGCAGAGCTATGGCAGGATGTGAGGTCTGCAGCAGAAAACCTTTCAGGTCAAAAGCATTTGCCTCAGTTCACAAAGTGAATCAAATCTGCTGCAGCCACACTTGTCAACCCAGAAAAAAGATATACAAGATGTATTTAACAGTAAAGAAAATGAGGTGCTGAGGATTATAAACAAAAGAAAACAAATCCAAATAGCATTAAAGCAAGGGTGAGTCAGCATGTGTCTAATTTACCAAACAATCCTAATGGGACTTTTGTCAAAGCCCTGTGCAGCGAACTGTGCTTCACAAGTGCTCACTCACTCAGTTTTGTCAGAGGTAAAAGTTCCTTGCTTGTTGGAGAACTACCAGCACGTCAAAGCAATGAGCTGCCTGTGAAAGCAGCGGCTGATGGGAATGTCAGGCCATGAAACGTGGAGGAGAACGGGATGAGTCACGCCACGGGCCGGGCAGTGGCCAGCTACTGCCCACTGAGGTGTGTTCTAATCGCTCGCTGCTTCCACTCAGTGTCAGAGCCCGCGGAAAGGAGTGTCATGGTTAGATGTGGCGTCTGAGTTAGCCTAGGACGGCCAGAGGGATGAGGCGGGGGTGGGCAGGGGAGGCAGTTGCGGGGTAGTTGCCAGGAATAATTAAAAGGAACCCTCTGTAATCGTAGCCTACCAGAAGCTCAGCATTTACGTAACTTGTTTTAGCTGAAGAGTTGACCTGGATGTCTCCC